AGTTTTCCAACGATTGATCAAAGTCCTTGGCTCTTTGAAAGGAACGACGGCATTTCCTTACCTGGACGACGTGATAATTCCGTCGAAGACCATTGAAGAGGGTATCGACAAGCTTCGGGAAGTTTTGGCAGCGTTTCGAACACATGGCCTAACGCTCAAGTTAGAGAAATGTTTTTTTTCAAGGAAACCATTGACTACTTGGGACGGGAAATAAGTAAAGAAGGAGTGAGGCCAGGTCAACGGAAAATAGACGCCGTAAAAGAAATGCCACAGCCCGGAAATATAAAGCAGGTACGTCAGTTTCTAGGACTGGCCAGCTATTTCCGAAAATTCATCAAGAATTTCGCAACGCTTGTGGAGCCATTGACGCGTTTAACACGGAAAGACGTACCGTGGCAATGGAAAGAGGCTCAAGAAGAAGCTTTCCAACAAGTAAAGGAAAGATTAATTACGCGACCGGTACTACGCATCTTTGATCCGACGAGACCAACTGAACTACACACGGACGCTAGTTCATTAGGTGTTGGAGCGATGATTCTGCAACGCCAGGAAGACGGAAATATGGCAGTAATTGCATATTTCAGTAAACAAACGACAGCGGATCAGCGTTGCTACCATTCGTACGAGTTAGAAACGATGGCAGTTGTTTTCGCGTTACGCCATTTCAGGGTTTATCTTCTTGGGATAGAATTCAAGGTCGTAACGGACTGCAACGCGCTACGGACGACTTTCTCGAAGAGAGATTTATTGCCACGCATAGGTCGATGGTGGCTAGAGGTTCAGGAATTTACTTTCGAAATTCTGTATCGGCCGAGGTCAAGAATGGCACATGTGGACGCACTCAGTCAAAATCCTCAGCCGACTACCCTCGAGATTGCGTACGTCGACATCACGGAGGCCGATTGGATTACGGCTGCACAAATTCAAGATGAACAATTGGCACGCATTAGGACGGTCCTCGCCGACAAGGACAAATCGGCGGAAACGAAACACTATTTCACGGAATACGTGTTGAAAAAGGATAAGCTATACCGTCGCCTGCCAGACGATAAAATAGCTTGGGTTGTCCCGAAGAACGCGAGGCTACAGGTATGCAGACTGTGCCATGATGACGCTGGACACCTGAGTGCGGGAAAGACCCTAGAACGGATTCAACGGAATTACTGGTTCGCAGGTATGCGGCGCTTCGTTGACAAATACGTGAAGGCGTGTTTGAGCTGTGCGTATTATAAGCACACTGCGGGTAAGAAACAATGTAAGTTGAACCCGATAGAACAAATACCGATTCCGTTTCACACGTTGCATATTGATCATGTGGGACCATTCGAGACGAGCCGAAGGGGCAACAAATACTTACTGGTAATGGTAGATGCCTTTACGAAATTCACCATCGTGGAGCCAGTAAAAGATACGAAGACGCGTCACACCGAAAAGGTTTTACTGAACCTCATGTATTTATTCGGTGTGCCGACGAGAATAATTAGCGATCGCGGAACGAGTTTCACATCGCGCAGATTCGCCACCTTGTGCAAGGCATACGGCATCAAGCACATATTAAATGCAGTGGCAACGCCAAGAGCAAACGGACAATGCGAGCGATATAACAAGACGATTGTTGACGCTCTCGCAACAAGTGCGGCAGGCCAAGACCCCCAGGACTGGGACACACTGGGCAAGAAGGTGCAGAATGCCATAAACACTATGCACAACAAAAGTATTGATACCACATCGATGAAGGCATTGATCGGTTATGATACAAGAACGGTAGCGGAAGGCGTAATATTGAGCGCCGTACAAGAAGAGATGGACCGGCTAGATTTGACCGCCTTAAGGAGGGATATTAGTGAACACATATCCGAAGAGCAAAAGGCACAAAAGGAACGGTATGACCGGACGAGAAAGGAGGCTCGCAGGTATACCGTGGACGAGCTGGTGTTGGTGCAGGTTACCAGTGACCCATCAACCGGAAGCAGTAGCAAACAACTGCCGAAGTATAAAGGACCAGCCCGAATTCGTACCGTATTACCTAACGATAGGTATGAGGTCGAAGACCTACGAGAAGGGGTGAAGCGACTACGAACAGTCGTTGCAGCCGACAAAATCAAGCCATGGATTACGATCCAGGGGGACGATCACAACGTGTGATGACCCGCAAAAGCTTGTTGTATCCTTTTTGTTGAAGTATCGTTGAGTAGAATGGAATCCCAACTACGAAATTGAACGATATCTCACATTTATTGAACTATGTTACAGAAAGGAAAAGAAAAGACCAAGCCATAAGGCTTGCACGGCCTCGAACGCGAGGGAACGAGGTGGAGAAGGAATAGTTACCCGACGACCAGGTAAAGTCCGACCACCACCGGATCGGAGCAACGGCTCTGACGCGAGGACAATGACCATCATTTGTCAGGGACGGGAAACCAGAGGGGTTTCTTCGACTTACGGCAAAGGACGCAACGTGCGTCACGACACGCGGTGTCTTAAAAATCCAAGGTACAACGGTACCTTTCGTAACGTTAACATCGAACCAGACGGGCACGACGTGTGCCTCAGGTAGGGTGGTGTTGGGTAAAGGGTGCAAAGTGCGCTCCGAACCGATAAGGGATACCGCGGTGTCCATAGTCGGTCGTAAGCGGTACAACGGTATTGCGTTACGCCGACAATTTAAAGTTTCTTCAATGACGAAATTTAATGTAAAGTCTGAGGACAGACCTGAGTCAGTCTGGCCGAATGTTAGGAAATCGGAGGAAGCGAATGGCTAAGACGGGCCACATGCGTTTCGTCAACGCACGACCCCTCTCAAAGAAAAGTTCCTTGAGAACAGGGGTGTCGTAAAAGAAACAAACGGTCACACTGACGAAGGCACCCGCCTCAGGCTAGAAGAACTTCATTCATTCTTGTAGCGACCATCGCATTGCACGGAGCAAATAAAGAATCAAGTTTTATTTTGAAAACGCCCACACTCATTTATCGTGATTTCTTACAATCGTAAAAGTTACGGATTTAGATCGTGACAGGAATGTGAAAATTGTCAAATTAGCGTAATACACTAGTTAATATGTGATGGTTACAGTTTCTACAGGGCGAGTCTGGTAATGCGACGATATTAAATAATTTGTAAAGTATTTTCTGTATCAAAAAACATTCATTTCAAAATTGTATAAACTTCATCCTTCGGGTATAACTGTACTAACGAACAGGCTTAATCTTCTCAGTAGATCTACGTTTACCCACAATAACAATCACGAAGTTACAAATTAAGTTCTAATTGAAAGAAGATCGACAGTTGTAATTTTGCGTACTCTCTGCCGTTCGTTCACTCTTGGGAAACGCGGTTGAAGCAAGCTATCCAATTTATAATTTCCTTTGGGGCTTGGAGAAGCAAACGACGAGAGGAAGTTTCCACGACTGTCGACCGACTATTTCTAGCGACAGTTAAATCTTCCATCGGGATTACCGTCGTTCCTTTTCTACTTCATCTGACCTCGTTCGAACACTTTATTGACACGGCAACGTGTTCACTCGACCCGACACTTTCTTTCTTGATGATAGCGAATAGAATTTACGCACGATTTGTTAGTTCATGGCTGTATTATTTTTACTAAAATATAACTATACATAGAACAGAGAAATTGAAATTTGTCTTTGTTGAATGAAAAAGTTCTGATAAATAAAAACATCTGCAGTAGTGAGGGAGATTTCAAGGTCAAGTGTGTTTTTTAAACGGAATGCTATATTTTTTTTCGCAATGTTATAGCTCTTTTTGAGACGAATTCAACGCGTACGAATAACAACCAGGATTGGTTGTTATTAAATAGTTACATGAAAGATGCTGTTAACTACTGAAGAAAGAATAGAAATAGTCCTTCTACGTGGGGATGGTTAATAACCAGAACAAATCAATAAATGATTCCAAATTAAGTGGTACATCTAACTGAAAATAATTCATTCATAGTCTTCCAGAAATTACTTAATGAGGTAAACATTTTTCTAGCGATTGAGTGGTCTGATTTGCATTAGTGGCACGATTAAACAGGGTTTAGCTAGCCAAAGGCGAGCACCCACGAGTTGACCTGATCCCCGATTTTTTATGTTGTAAGACCCTTTCATAAAATGAAATGTCATCATATACTATCTCGCTGAATTCGTTTTAAACAGAGCTATAACATCACGAAAAAAAATATAGCAACCGCAAAACGCAAAACGCGACGAATCAAAATTTCTTTCGTAAACTGTTTGAAATTATAAACATCGTGTATGTGCGTCGCAGCGTCGACAGTTTTTAGCGACGATTAAACGACGCTTGGAATCAATTAGGATTCCTCGAAGTTTGGAGAACAGTGGACTGTAATTAATGAAAACTTGACGCGTGTGTAATTGTATTTTAGCAAACAGACTTTATTCTAACGTAGATGTATAGCGACTGCCTAGCGACTGACTAGTGAGGAATTCCTCTTCCCCAAACAGTCCGAGTAGGCGTACAATTTTTGAATCTTGAGGGTGAGGGAAAACAGTTTCTCATTGGTCTATTGGCTGGCTAAAAATTCGGGTGGAAATAGCAAACGGCAGTGACGTGGACAGAAGGTCCGGATTTTCCAAGTTGGCCGTAGCGAGTAATAAAGCCAAGCAATTCCTCGACGTGAGAAATGCAACACAAAGACTCTACTGCTAAGGCTAACGGTTCTGGTAACCAGATGCGACTAAGTAATAAACGAAGTTATTCGACGGTACGTACCGATTCCTTGGGTCTTTATTACTGCTACAGGTAAAGGACCTAACATGCCGCCCGCCTTGAACGGCTGCGTTCAAAAGTTAATAAGACAATAAACTATCATGACTAGAATACTTGCAGCTGTATAAATCTAAATGCGTATGTGTAATATACTAGAATCTGAAACTATAAGTAATTATTACAAAGTTTTTGTGTGTTATGTACACGGGTCTGTGTGCAAGTGTGTATGTTTGTATGGTTATTCTTGAATTAAAATTTGCATTGATGGCTACTCTGGTTCAATAGGTAACGGCGCTAAATTTTTCAATGCGCGCTTGTAAGTGCTGTGCGGAGTTCGAACCGTGACCACACGCACTACGTTGTCTTCTCCGGGGTGAACAGCAACTACTCGCCCGAGTTGCCATTGAAGTGGTGGAGAATTGGCATCTTTGATCGACACCAGGATGCCCTCCTTGATTCCTGTATTATTTCCCGTGTGCCATTTGCTCCTGGTGTGCAACTCCTGTAAATATTCTACTTGCCACCTTTTCCAAAAGTGCTGCTTAATTTTTTGAATGTGCTGCCAGAGTGACAGTTTGTTAATCTGTATATCCACTAAATCGTGCTCCGGCAAACATGCCAACGAATCACCTATAAGGAAATGACTGGGCGATAAGGCAAGGAAGTCGTTGGGATCAGAGGATAAAGGTGTTAAGGGGCGTGAATTGAGTATAGCTTCGATCTCAACAATTAGAGTGTAAAACTGCTCATATGTGAAGGTGGCATCACCTATTGTTTTATGTAAATGTCTTTTAAAAGATTTAACGGCAGCCTCCCAGAGACCACCAAAATGTGGGGAACGGAGAGGAGACAAATGCCATTCAATATTTTCTTGCGTTAGGAACTGCCGAAACTTATCTTTGTATTCGTTGGACGATAGGAACGCCTGAGCTTGTATAATTTCGTTTTTAGCACCTATGAAATTGGTGCCATTGTCAGAATATATATGGCGCGGTTTTCCTCTTCTCGCGAGGAATCTTTTAAGCGCTCCTAGACACGACTCCGTGGTCAAATCGGTAGCCAATTCTAAATGCGTGGCCTTTGTCGCAAAACAAACAAAAACCACGACATAACATTTTAGCTTCTTCTGATTTCTAAATTTTTTCTCTTTGATAAGGAAAGGCCCACAATAATCAATGCCTACGCTTCCAAATGGACGCATTTGTGTGACTCGATTTTTGGGTAAATCCCCCATTATATATTGTGGTGTCTTGGGATTGTATCTACTGCAGCGAATGCACTTGTGTATTATTTGTTTGACTATACTTTTGCCGGCTAACGGCCAATATTTGTGTCTTATTGTGTGTAATGTAGCTTGTACGCCCGAATGAAATTGATTTCCGTGTACCTGCCTAATTATTAGCTCCGTGATGTGGTGTTTGTGCGGCAAAACTATGGGGTACTTTGAATTATACCTGAGCTGAACGTGTGTCAGCCTGCTGCCGACCCTAATAAGGCCCTTGTCGTCCATGAACGGATTTAAATTGCTTAGCCTGCTCTTCTTACTGAGACTCTTGCCGTTTTCTAACTTCCTCAATTCTTTTGAAAAACTTTCTAATTGAACTAATTTAATGACGCGAAGGTGTGCCTCTTGAATTTCCGAACACATTAATGGACCTGAAGTTTTCTTGTTCTTACATTTCATGTTGTAATAGAAGCGAAAAATGTATGCTACAATTCTATTTAAACGGTTAATTGACGAGTAATTTTTCAGTAAATCTAGATTGAGTTGTACAGTTAGTGTCACCGGTCGTCTTTTTTCCGGTATTTCTGCAATTTCTATATTGCTAACTGGCCAATACGATTGATTCAAAGATAGCCAATGTGGTCCAAATTTCCATAGACTATTTTTCACAAGCTGTGAAGGAAGTTGTCCTCGCGAAACAAAGTCTGCGGGGTTATCTGCTGTAGCAACGTGAAACCAACTTTCGGGATGAACCTCTGCTTGTATTCCACTGACTCTATTCGCGACAAACGTTTTGAGCAAGTGGGGAGATGTTTTAATCCAGTGGAGTGTAATAGTTGAGTCAGACCAGAATCTAATTTGTTTAAAATTTACTTTGTACAATGCCTTGATTTGGCACATAATAAGTGCACTGCATGTTGTCCAAGCTTATTAGTGGACCGAATGTATAAACACGCACCGTACGCTTTCTCACTCGCATCACTAAAACCGTGCAATTCTAAATCTATTGTTTCGTGTATCGCGATTCGGCGTGGCACAGTAAAATTATTTAAGAGACACAATTCATCTTTTATTTCTAGCCAAGCTTGTTTTATTGACTGAGGAACGAGATCATCCCAGTCAATCGCCGACTTCCACAATTGTTGCATAATTATTTTTGCTTTTATAATTACCGGGCCAAGCAAACCAAGGGGGTCAAACAATTGCGCGATTTGCGACAAAAGCACTCTCTTGGTGATGCGAGACTGCTCGGCCGCCCTCTGTTTGAAAATATAACTAATTTTATCGTCTATTGTAGTCCAATAAATCCCTAGCGTTTTTCTTGTTTCTGTTGGATCTAGACATAATGATGCTTGTTGCGTATTGACTTGCATCTCAGTAGCCAATCTTGTATCATTGGAAGCCCACTGTCGCAAATGGAAACCTCCTGCCTTAGCCAACTCCAAACATTGAGTTTTAATCTCTAGCGCGGCTTCGAAATTATCGGCTCCAGTTAGCAAATCGTCGATATAAAAATCCTTTAAAAATATTTCTGACGCTATGGGATAACTTTTTGCCTCATCTAGAGCTAATTGTTTAAGTGACCGCGTAGCCAAAAATGGTGCAGGCGTGGTACCGTACGTGACCGTGTTTAATTTAAATGTTCTAATCGCGTCATTTATTGAATCTCGCCATACAATTTTTTGATAGTCTCTATCATCAGGATGCACTATAATTTGCCTAAACATTTTTTCAATGTCTGCTGTGAGAACGAATGTGTGTTGGCGAAAACGAATAAGTATAGAAAACAATGTGTTTTGTATCGTAGGCCCGATTAATAATGTGTCATTCAAAGACAGTCCCGAACTAGTTTTTGCTGAGGCATCGAATACTACCCTAACCTTTGTGGTCGAACTCGATTCTTTTATAACCGCGTGGTGCGGTAGATAATATCCTAAGTTATTATCGTCTTTCACTTCCGTCATGTGACCTAATTTTGAATACTCTTTTAGAAATTCTGTATACTGTGTTTTCAATTCTGTTTGTATTTGTAATTTGCGCTCTAAATTGTAGAAACGTTTTAAGGCCATTGCCTTTGAATCGCCAAGAAGACTACGCCTATCATTGAACGGTAACCTTACCATATAGCGTCCTTGTTCATTACGTGTCGTATTTTCTACAAAATGGGCTTCGCATTCCCTTTCTTCCGCGGATAAGAAATTTTGCTGTGGAATTTCTTCCATCTCCCAGAAACGATTGATTTGTGTATCAAGGGACGTGGCTAAATGACAAAATCTATTAGCTTTATGTGAATTATTCCGCCTTTTACTATCTACCTCCCCGGTAACAATCCATCCTACCTGTGTGTTTTGTAAAATGATAGAAGATTTGTTTAGTTTAATCTGACCCGTCTCTAATAAATCATAGAATAGTGCATTCCCAATGAGTGCATCTATCTCTCCTGGTATATGGAATGCTGGGTCCGCTAACTGTATGTGTCTTGGTAATTCTAAATCACTTATGTCAATTTGTCTTAACGGTAGCCTACCCGTAATCGATGGTAACGCAATAAATTTTACCTGTGCTCTAAAGGGACTGGTCTTTGATTTTATACCTGTCTTGACTACGTACTTTGCTTGTGTATTAAGCTGCCCTAAACCAGAAAACGAAAGATCTATTTTACCTTTCTCTAATTGTAATAATTCTGCAAGTCGTTGTGTAATGAAATGTGTCTGGGAACCGCTATCGAGTAGTACGCGACAGGTGTGCTCCTTACTGTATTTATCTAAAATTGTGATTTGAGCTGTACCAAGTAATATCTCTGAATCATATGAGACCGTTAAAGCTGTTTTTACTGTATTTGCAGATGTCGAAGGGGTGGATAAAGGTTCATTATTGTCCCTCACTCCTTGAGGTTCGGTCGGAAAATGCAATAACGTGTGATGTTTCTTGTCGCATTTGCGACAATTCCCTAATCGGCAATTAATAACCGTATGATTTGGACGCAGGCAATTTAAACATAGCTTCGTCCGCTTCACTGTATTTAGACGATCGCGAACCGACAATTGTAAGAATTTAGTGCACATATAAATTGGGTGTCCTCCCTGGCAAACGACGCAAACTTGTTTCCGCTCATCTGTCGCTACGTATGATTGACCGCGAACTTGTGTTTTCGAGCGCAATCTATCCTGTATACCCTGTGTCTTGAATGGATTTGAAAATTCCATTCCCAAGTCATCCCCTCGTGCATGCTTGTTAATAAAATCTAACAACTGCTGGAATCGAGGAATTTCTTCATCTTCTAAGGTACGCTCCCACGAGCGACGAGTATTCTTATCTAATTTATTCGAAACTAGGTGTATCAAAATCGTATCCCAGTACTTGGTGGGTTGTTTTACGGCCTGCAACGCGTTAACGTGTACTTGAGCCTGCTCAGCTAATTGTCTAAGGCTTGACGGTGTGTCGCGAGTAATTTCCGGCAAATCGAACAAAAGTTTCAAATGGGCATTGATAATTTTCCTCGGTTTATTACATCGCTTTCGTAGTAAATCCCAAGCCACCAAATAATTACCTTCTGTCGCGTTCAATGATTCAATTATTGCGGAAGCCTCTCCGCGAAGGGCATTTTTCAAAAGATGGAATTTTTGAACCCCGATTAACTCCTCGTTATCGTGTACTAAGGACTTAAAAGTATCATGAAAACTATGCCATTCTATTGGGTTGCCGTCGAATGGCCTGATCTCGATCTTACGTAGAAGTGAACTAGTTGGCTTTACCGTGCTCGGCGATTCTGCTACTACTCTATTCGTAGGAACGGGTTGAATGTTATCGCACAAATGTTTTAACCTCTCGCCAATCACTTCCGCGGCTCTATAATATTGTTGTTCAAATGATTCCCATTCTACTGTGGAATCCGAAGTTTCGTCTCTAACCTCTATTGCAGTTTGCACTTCCGAAAATGTATTAAAGATTTGTTCTAATTTAAATTGCCGTATTTCTAACGCCGAGATAGACATGTCTTCGTGGTCATATAAGTATGATAATGTGCGCTTCACTTGAGCTTTAGCATTAGCGCGTTGTCTTCTCAATTGCTTAATGTCACTCGACTCCTCCGACTGAGACATATTTATTGAGATCGAAGCAAACTCGATGGATCAAATAACGATAGGAAGATGATTCGTTAGCACTTACTGACACGAAGTTTGTGGCGACGTTGTATCTGGCTGCTGTTGTCCTTGGATGCTGCCGTCTCTGCAACACCCTTCTGCTACTGCTGGGATGAAGATGCTCTACTCAGCCCTCTGACTTGGCGGTTGATCACCGTTGTTGAATGTTGTCCCAGCGACGTCTTCTGACCTGCCTGGCCGCTACTGTCCGCTTGGTTGATGCAAAAATGCTTTCTGGACCAGTTTCCAGATCAGCCTCCTCAGTGATTCTCGTTCGATGTCTCTCACAACGGAGCACGATGTATTTGTTTTGTATGTGATTGTATTTCAGTCATTCAATCGGAACAACTATCCGCACTGACGAAATGTATGATACTAAACCGAAACCGAGATCGGTATCCGGCTCGAAGGACCAAAAATGTATGTGCGTCGCAGCGTCGACAGTTTTTAGCGACGATTAAACGACGCTTGGAATCAATTAGGATTCCTCGAAGTTTGGAGAACAGTGGACTGTAATTAATGAAAACTTGACGCGTGTGTAATTGTATTTTAGCAAACAGACTTTATTCTAACGTAGATGTATAGCGACTGCCTAGCGACTGACTAGCGAGGAATTCCTCTTCCCCAAACAGTCCGAGTAGGCGTACAATTTTTGAATCTTGAGGGTGAGGGAAAACAGTTTCTCATTGGTCTATTGGCTGGCTAAAAATTCGGGTGGAAATAGCAAACGGCAGTGACGTGGACAGAAGGTCCGGATTTTCCAAGTTGGCCGTAGCGAGTAATAAAGCCAAGCAATTCCTCGACGTGAGAAATGCAACACAAAGACTCTACTGCTAAGGCTAACGGTTCTGGTAACCAGATGCGACTAAGTAATAAACGAAGTTATTCGACGGTACGTACCGATTCCTTGGGTCTTTATTACTGCTACAGGTAAAGGACCTAACACATCGCTTATTGTCGAACAGCTTAGGACGCGTCTTTTATTTTTCAAGTACATATTAATAGTACGAGGGTTTAAGACCCTCCAAATTACTGAACTGCATATTTAGTATACAAATATAAAATTAATACGAATATAAATTTACTACACAATTTAATATACAAATTTACTTACTGAAGCACGTTGAAATGATGGATAACACAATGTCACTTTTCTAAACGATTGATGGTACGATTTCTCGGAAGCTTGTTTTGTTCTATGATGTATCACAGAGAGCTGACTTGTTGGCTAGAAAAATTTGTAAAAATGATAAACAATTATAGCTATAAGCACAGACGAGATATACGAGTAGACCTTTCACCTTATGGACTTTCGCGGCCCGATCTAACTGCCATACCGACCTGAAAATTCGGAGGTGATTTTAGCGGCCTCTTCTCGTGGATGGCGGTCAGTTGAGAAACTATGCACTGAATTAGTATTGATGGGTAGCCATCTGTAGTGTGTGCGTAAATACATGTGAGTTGACTATGGGAGGGATTGAAAAAGACAGTGCAGTATTATCAGACGGCAGACCCGTGTCCAAAGGGAACTGCCCCTCCACTTACACACACTAATGCCAACCACCTTGTATATGAGTTCTGGCGTTTCGTATAGCTTCGTGGATTCGAGAAAGGCGGCAAATGTGAGTCTACCCTTCTTGCTCTCAACACAGCTAAAATTCGATCTCGCATAATGTCGAGCCGATATTTTCGACTACCCAGGCATTTTTTACTTTCCGACCTATGTAGGCGTATATAAGCAAAAACCATAATGAAACAAAAATTTCAAAAATTTTTTTACGGAAATACACGTTTTAGGACCTTCTGATCATATTTTAAATATTAAAAAAAAGACATTTTTTTACTATGCTAATGGACGTGCGTTCATATATTTATACTATTAATACGATTGAGTCTGAACAACCAAATGAATTTCAATATACTTTTAAAGTACAATGTTAAGTCATAGAGGGGTTTACTGACCCAAGAGCGTACTTACAGCATATGCTATACACCGTTGGAAAGGTCTCGCCAAGGCGAATCGACTGATACCATTTTTAACTTCGATATCAGATGGGATAATGTCGAAAAATGGCCTCAAAGTTCGAGATTTTGCGGTTTTGAACAAAAGAAACCGGTAGTAAAAGCCCATCCGGCCCGAGGGACCTCGGGTAGGCACCTGAGGAAAAACCGAGGGGTGTACGCGATACTCTAGCAGATTGGGACGGCAACTGTGCCCCACCACCTTCATTTCAGTGCCGTGTTGGGCCTGCGTTTGTCGCATGGGCCCCGTTCCAAATGCCCAGGGCGAAATCGCCAATGGATCAGTTGTTTTTCATGAACATAATATATTCATGATAGACGATTCGCAGGTATGAGTTGGGAATGTGCAGGTTAGTATTCAGTATTCACATCATTATGTTTCGTTCAATCAATAAAATGTCACTCCATTCACTATTGTAAGTGACGCATTAGTCTGAATACTAACCTGCACATTCCCAACTTATACCTGCGAATTGTCTACCATGAATATATTATGTTCATGAAAAACAACTGATCCATTAGCGATTTCGCCCTGGGCATTTGGAACGGGGCCCATGCGGCAAACGCAGGCCCAACACGGCACTGAAATGAAGGTGGTGGGGCACATTTGCCGTCCCAATCTGCTAGAGTATCGCTTACACCCCTCGGTTTTTTCTCAGGTGCCTACCCGAGGTCCCTCGGGCCGGATGGGCTTTTACTACCGGTTTCTTTTGTTCAAAACCGCAAAATCTCGAACTTTGAGGCCATTTTTCGACATTATCCCATCTGATATCGAAGTTAAAAATGGTATCAGTCGATTCGCCTTGGCAAGACCTTTCCAACGGTGTATAGCATATGCTGTACGCTCTTGGGTCAGTAAACCCCTCTATGACTTAACATTGTCCTTTTAAATCTGAAAGAATTTGAGAATACTCATCTATTTGTCCTCTTTGTGTAGCAATTTAAAAAAAACGCTGACTCATTAAAATCAATCATATGAAAATGAATGGAAGTTGAGACCGCCCCTACTGAAAATGAAAGACTGGAAAATTTGTCTTCTTTCAATGAAGGAAACTCTTTTGCTTAATCTTTTTCGAAGGCGAAGGCAAAAAAGTCGATTTCGCCACGGCAACAATGGTTGGACGCGACGCGTGAACATTCCCCCGAAATAGGGGATCGGTTTTTGTTTTCCAGAAACGCTAGCGGCAATGTATTTTCCAAGAGAGTCGAAGAGAAGGACCACTGAAGGACGCTCAGTCTACGATACATTTATGACAGAGTTTTGGGGTGCATGTGGCCTAAAGAACGAATGAGACTAAACAGGCCTGGCAACGGTTGACGCGATAGCGGACGACCGCGTTGGGTCTCCAGGTAGCGCCTTGTCGAGGCATTGATTGTTTATGAATGGAGAGAGAGTAGTTAAAAGAGGCAGACGACCTGACGTCGTACTGCTGGAAAAAATAAAGCCTTTGTCCTGAAGGATCTGGCCACGGAGTGGGGAAGGCGTGGGATCTTCCGGTAAGAGCACTGTGAGGAACGGCACAGGACTTACCCCAAAACCGTCAAAGGCAAAATTTCTAACATATAGGCATGTCTCTATAAATTTCAAATCCATTAATCAATATGAATTTGTGATATTATGTCAGCCAATTTCGAAAATATGGTTTCGAGAAAAACGCATTTAAAATTTCTGGTATGATTATTAACCGATGGGTACTCTTCCCTCTAAATGGCTATAACTTTGTTATTTTTACGAATTTTAACGAGTCTACGTTTATTATAATTGCTAAATGAAGAGAACGAGTTGCGAGACAAAGATCAGTTGCGGGGTTTTTAAAAAGGACAGATTTGCAGTTTTGTTCTCATTAATGTGTGCAGCGTGTTTGCGAGGAATGTGTCCGATATATACATATTGTTGTACGCCAGTATGTATCACTATGTTTACACAGTATGCCTCATCATGTTTACGCGCACACAAAACTCCACTTTCCTTCGTTTATCCTGACTCACACCCGAACCTTGACCACTGAATCATTTTTGGAAGCTCTCTCTGTCTCGTCCTTTTCTCTCCCTACCTTTCCCTCCTTTCCAGTCCTGCATATATATCCTGCACTTTTCCCAAAACGGGCTCTCTGATTCTGACTCTCACAGTACACGAACGCGCAAGCCTTTAGTCTAAGACTACGAATAGTCAAATTGTATTTGTACGCCGTTAACCTAGTATTCCGACAGTTAATAAAGGGCTATTAAGAGGAATACAACAATATGTATACAGGGTGTTCGGCTACCTATAGTAAAAATTTTAATGAGCGATAGTAGAGGCCAAAATAAGACGAAAATCAAGAATACTAATTTGTTGATGGAAGCTTCGTTGCAAAGATATTAACATTTAAAGTTAAGCCTGTAGAATGACAACCCGCTAACAGATGCGTTCGCGCGGACGGTTACGGCAGGCCAATGCTAGTGGTTCTCACGCAGCATGAAAAATTTTATTACCGACATTATCGGCAGCCTTAGATTTTTGTCCACTTATAGGAATGCGAACACCTTACGTTGAATAAGATTCAACCTGTCTTATGAAAATCCAGAAAGGCATATCAAAACTCGCCCGACGGGATTTTCACAGAGAAAGGGTGAATGCCAGTTCCAATACACAATGTTGTGAACAAAAATCACCCACACGCGATTATACACGCCCCACGATTGTCCACAGTGTCCACAAGTATCCACAAATAATCCTTTCATGCACTAACCACTACGCAATTAAATAAACACGCACAGCGATTATGTTATTCGTGAGTGTCTATGTGTACGTGCACCATGATTGTCCCAAGTTACTTACAAATAGAACTGTTATTAATTTTTCAAATATATTTTAATTTAAAAATGTAAAAAGGAATTTAATAAGTATTCGCTGATTGTTTATATCGCTGTATTTCTTACATGCTACTTAATAC